TGCGTTCTATTTGAGCGCAGCCGAGCTTCCTTTGTAGGATTAGTTGGGACTATAGTGGTAAAGAGAAATAACTATAGTTGTTGGACATGTCGTTTAGACTTCTTTTGTTTTCTTGAGCTTAGGGTTAATATTAGTTTATATATTTATTATTATTTTATGACGTTATTTTGAAATTTTGGCATGGTTTGTAACTTTACATTATTTAAATTGTTTTGACTATTTATTGTTACTTTAATGTTGGAGGTATTGGATAGTTATGAAATTTATGGTAGATGGTTTGGTTGGTGTTTTGTTAGTTTTTTTTTTAATCCCTTGTAATCTTTTGAGCATGGAAACTTATTTAAAGCTTATGGAGACGAGAACGTTTAGTTTTTTTTTTTTGGTTTGTTTGTTTCACCCCTAGGATTTGGATGATGGAATATTGATTGGGGTTTAGTCCTAATTTAATATTTAATTGTCCAAATTTTGGGGCGTGACACGTTCTATAGAACTTCCTTTTTTGTCTAGCAGGTACTCGTTTATCACATAATACTCCAGACGCACTCCTCCACTTAAGCCACCTCGCCTTAATTCTATAGACCACATCCCTTCCCAATCGTTGTGATAATCGATCCTAAATAACGAAAATTTTCATTCTTAGGTAATTCTTGGTTCTCAATTTTCACTTCTCCTCTACTTCCATTATGATTGTTACTAAAATTACACTCTATATACTTTATCTTAGTTTTGCTTATCTTAAAACCTTTAGATTCAAGTACTTTTCTCCAAATTTCTAACGTAGTGCTCACTCTTGTTATAGTCTCATCCACTAACACGATATCATCTGCAAAAAGCATATATCATGATACATCATCCTGAATATTTTGCGTCAACTCATCCATAATTAAAGCGAAAAGATAAGGATTTAAAATTGATCCTTCGTGCAACCCTACAGTAATTGAAAACTTCAATGGTAAATACCTTTACAAAATGAAAGCAATTGAAAAGTAGGACTTTGTGGATTAAAATTAGAGTTTTGCTATACTTCCCTGTTTCATCATCTTTAATAATACCTCTAATGATGTGGCAAGAAAATAAAGTCTCAAATAATTGAATATGTGACAAATTAAAAGTATATCATTTCACATAGGGTGAAACTGTGGACGTTTATTAGGGGTCTCAAATATTTTCCAAACTAAATGGATACTATGATAAGAAGGGGAATCCTATGTGTAATTTTATCACAAAATTTCACAACATCAATCATAAAGCATATAAATTCATCACAAATTGGCGTAATAAAATGTCTAAAATTTTGTGCTTGATATCAAAAAAATTTGTGACTTGGTTACGATATTTTTTGTTAATCTAATTTGTGCTGAGATTACGCATTTACAGTTGATATTACAAAATTTTATGATAAAATTATACATTTTATGATAAGGTGTACACCATAATATTTCCCTGTAAAAAAAAAAAAAAAAAAACAACTTAGACTCTAAAAATGGCAAGCCTAAGGCCCATTTGAGGCTCGTATGGGTGACTTGGGATTAAAATCATAAGCAACCTAAAATAAGGAATTAATTTCGACCCAAATATAAAACTGCTACTTATAGTTGGACAAGGTTGCTAAAGTTACCTACACAATAAAGATTATAAAAAAAAAAAAAATAGTTAAAATAGTCAATAAGATAAAATATTACATCTTATACATTAATGAATTATTTTTTCTCTCACAACCATCTACTCAACTATAAAAAATTCACAAATCATCCCAAACAAAAAAAAAAATTTGTCTCGTAAAATAGTTAAAAAGTCAAAAATTCAACTAAAATAGCCAAATTCTCAAAACAGGCCAAAATACGAATCAAATTGTTTGGGTTTCAAAAAAATTGAACTCACTTTTCAGAAAATTAAATTTTTATTTTTCGTGTTTTTCTATTTTTAGTCAAATATTTTAATATTTTTTTTTAGATACACCTAATCTAGATACACTTAAAAATTATAATATTTACAAAAAAATTAAAAAAAATCATGAAATACAAAAACAAAAACAAAAACAAAAACAAAAACAAAAACAAAACAAAACAAAACAAAACAAAAAATTCAGTACATTTTTATATTCTTATAGATTTATTGAATTTTAAAAATATTTTTTCACAATTATTTTATATTTTAGGTGCAATTAAATTATGTGTATATAGAAAGTACAAAATTTACTTAAAATTTTAAAAATCACTATAAAAAATATGAAATACAAAAAATTCAATTTTTAAAAAATCAATCAAAACAAAACAAGGTGATTAAGAGGGAATAATGATTAATTAAAATGGGATGAAATAAAATAAAATGTCATTCTTAGGCTTCGCTATGAAATCCATTACAATGGTAAATGAAAAATCCATTTGCAATGTATTTGTAATGTGAGATGGCCCTATTATGATTTGGTGACAATTTTCATTATCATCCTTTGTCATCTGTTGAAGGAGGGCTCTGGTACCTAATCAATCAATAGTAGGTGGTGGTGGTGCCACCTGTGTGATTGACAATTAGATCTATCGCACACCGCTTTACTTTAAAAGGTGACGGCATAATGAAAGAAATCTCGAATTGCTCACCACCTTTAATTAGATATCCAAAATATTCTTCAACTCTTATATTGCTTTTCCAAACATAATCTCCACTACTGTCAAGGATGGCAAAGAAAATTGGGGTATAAGTAAAATCGATGCCATTAATTTTATCAGTAATAATGACGTATAGATAATCATCTAATTCCATGGAGCAGCTTTCTTCATCCTCAGCTCTATAATAAACAATTTCCAAAGTTAACCCTACAACGTAATCGTCTTCCCCTTGCACTATTGGCACTTCTAATGATGTCGAAGATCCTGTTATTTGATGGAGGAACCAATGGCTCAAGTCACTACTAGGACAGAAATTATCGCCAATAGGGAAGTAGTTGTCACAAAGATGTCATATGAATTTCTAATTAGTAGAGTGCTAGACGAAAATAAAAGAAAAAATTAAAATAAATTTGGGAATACAAAATCAACATCATAAATATAGATAGAATAATTTGAGAGTGAAATCGTATCTTTTATGATAAGTCTCACTCTTTTCATATATGATATGTATGATTAAGATTATGTCATGTTGTTTATTTTACATCCCCATAATCTTGTTTGAAATTTTTTTTTTTTTTTTTTTGGCATCAAATTAATCCAGTGGCAAGTTTTAATTTTATCATTTGTAATTAAAAAACTCATCAAAGTTATTTATATTTGAAAAAAGAAATGTTATATATGTCACATGTTTTTTTTATCATTGTTTTGTATTATTGTATACATGGATATTTATAATTGGCTTATTTGTTTAGAGATAATTAGTAAGAAATTAATGAAAACAAATAACATCTCGTCATAAAGAAATGCTATATATGACTGATTATTTATCATTATTTTGTGTCACCGTCTATATGAATGCTTATGATTAATTCTCTTATTTGAAGATGATTATTAACAAATTAATGCAAACAAATGACATCTTTCCAAGCAGGTTGGTGATATAAAATTAAAAAAAAAATGATATAAACATGTGATATATAATCATCTAATGTATTATCATGTAGCTAATAATAAAAACAATGAAAATATCTAGTGAATCTTATTTTTAAAATTGTTACTGTCACATTATTCAAGTAAAAAATTTTGAATAAAAAATTTAGCAAGAGTAAGATATTATTTTCCATCTCTAATAGGCAACTCTTCTCCAGTCCACTGGTGTTGTTTAGGTCGATGAAACTCACCACAGGTTCCGTTTCTATAATCTAAACTATTGATATTGTTGGGCACTTCATCTATTTCATTCACGGAAAAATTAAGTCAATTTGATAATCATAACTTATTTAATTTATTGCGTTTGTCACAACAAAAAAAAAATATTGTTTATTTTTAAAAACATAATTGTCATCAATTTTTTTGTGACAAATTTGATAAATTAAATATATTACGATTATCGGATCAGTCTAATTTTTTTTTTTTGTGAATAAAATAGACAAAGTGTCTGATAAATTGAAATATTCGAATTATCAAAACGAAACTGGTGGTAGACCCCATGATTGATTCCACAGACCAAAACAACGTCCTCCATCCATATAACCAGATGCAATCCTCCTCTACTTATAGGTCACATCTAAAATAAATTTGGTTTCACACATTTCACTTAATTTTCAGAGATGAGCACTTGTTGAAGGGATTGAAAGTTGATGAAAGATACATGGTTGAGGAATTGGATCACGAAAAGTCTCTGCAGCTTTTCAATTGGCATGCCTTTGGCAAAACCAATCCATTAGAAAATTATGCAGATCTTGCAAATGGTATAGTAAGTTATGCTAGTGGGCTGCCACTAGCTCTTGAAGTTTTGGGTTCTTATTTGTCTGCAAGAAACATGGTAGAATGGAAAAGTGCATTTGATAAGTTACAACAAATTCCTCATGAGAAAATTTAGGAAAAACTTAGGATAAGTTTTGATGCACTAGATGATAACATAAAGGATATCTTCCTTGATTGCATTCTTTTTCTTTGGAATGGACAGAGGCTATGTCATTACTATATTGAATGGTTGTGGTTTCTTTGCAGAAATTGGAATTAGTGTTCTGATGAGCAGATGTTTACTGAGAATTAGTAAAAACAATAAGTTGATGATGCATGATCTACTTAGGGATATGGGGAGGGAGATTATTCGTGAAAAATATCCGAAGGAACCTGAAAAGCGCAGGAGATTGTGGTTTCATGAAGATGTATGCTATGTACTTGAAAAAAACAAGGTAAGAGTCGAATCTTAATTCATTCTAGTGAGTTAGTAAGTTTTCGATATGGAATGCTAATTTCAGTTGTTTTATAGTCTTTCTTCCTTTTAATTTTCCATTTTGTTTTTAAATATTACTGTATTAGGGAACAGAAGCAGTTGAAGGTGTGATCTTGACCCTACCCATGCTAAAGAAGATACAATGGAGTAATAAAGCATTTGCGGGGATGCCTAAGTTAAGACTGCTTCGAATAGATCATGTACACCTCTGTGGAAATTTTGAACATCTATTTGAAGAGTTAAGGTGGCTCTGTTGGCAGTACTGCCCATTGGAGTCTTTACCATCCAATTTTTGTCCAAAGAAACTTCTTGTTTTAGACATGCAATTTAGTAGATTTAAAACACTCTGGATGGATGGCAAGGTATGACATTCTTAGCAAATTCATTGTTGTTTGGGATTTGGGTAAATTATATAGTGGATCATGATGAAAAAAAATTATATAATTTCGAATATTTTTCTTTGTTTTTGCAGCACTTCAAGAGCTTGAAAATTTTAAATCTCAGTAATTCCAAATGCCTAACAAAAAGCCCCATCTTTTGTGCACTACCAATGCTCGATGAATTACTGCTTGAAAGTTGTATAGGTTTAATGGAGCTCCATGAATCAATTGGGCTTCTAGATAAACTTGTTCACTTGAATTTGAAAGATTGCATGAACCTCAGGTATCTTCCAGGCAGTATCTGCAAGTTAAAGTTTGTTAAACATGTAAATCTCATTGGTTGTGCGAAACTAGAGGAGTTTCCAGAGCACTTGGGACATATGGAAAGCTTAACAGAGATTCTTGCAGATGGAACAGCCATCAAACAACTACCTTTCTCTATTGGACTACTGAAGAATCTTAGGAGCTTATCGTTGAATGGATGTAATAGGCAATTGACAACTAAGTCCTGGTTTTCTCTCATTTCATCTTGGGTTTTACTAAGAAAAAAAGCCGACTCCATAAGATTTTTACCATCCTCTGTTTCAGATTTGTGTTCAGATTTTTGCGCAACTAGTGAGATTTAGACGTTCAACAGACTTTAACTTGCAAATACTGCCTGGAAGATACCTGAGGTTCATGCAATCTTTCAAATTCAAGTGAACAAGTTTATCTAGAAGCCCAATTGCCTCATGGAGCTCCATTAAACCTGTACAACTTTCAAGAAGTAATTCTTCGAGCATCGGTAGTGCGCAGAAGATGGGGCTTTTTGTTAGGCATTTGAAATTGCTGAGATTTAGAATTTTGGTTAAAACCAAAAAAAAATAAGAAATTATATAATTTTTTTTCATTCTTCATATTCACTACTCAATTGATCCAAATCCCAAATAACAATGAATTTGCTAAGAATGTCGTACCTTGTCATCTTTCCAGAGTGTTTTAATTTTGCTGAATTGCATGTCCAAAATAACGAGTTTCTCTGGATGAAAATAGGATGGTAAATACTCCAATGGCCAGTTATACAAACAAAGCCACCTTAACTCTTCAAATAGATGTTCAAAATTTCCACAAAGGTGCACATGATCTAGTCGGAGCAGTCTTAACTTAGGCATCCCAGCAAATGCTTTATTACTCCATTGTATCTTCTTTAACATGGGTAGGGTCAAAATCACACCTTCAACTGCTTCTGTTCCCTAATATAGTAATATTTAAAAACAAAATGGAAAATTAAAAGGAAGAAAGACTATAAAATAACTGAAATTAGCATTCCAAGCCGAAAACTTACTCACTAGAAAGAATTAAGATTCAACTCTTACCTTGTTTTTTTCAAGTACATAGCACACATCTTTATGAAACCACAATCTACTGCGCTTTTCAGGCTTCTTGTTAATAATCAGTCAAATGGATGAAAAAGCATAGTATTCTATTGCCCATGTCTTTGATGTATATAACTAGTGTTGCCTTTTAATCTCTACTGTAAATATTTGGCATTTGATGAAATTAAGCTCTCAATATATGTGTAAAATTATCTGCCAGATAGAAAGTGAGCAGCTACAAAACAAATTAAATTATGGCACTTGGGATAGTCTAAAACCAGTTGTGGCTCAATTTCAAACAAAATAATACCACCATTCTTTGAAATACTCGAAGGCAAGGGTCTACGTACAACTTGAGCCTCCCAAGAAGCATATAATCCTAAAAATGGATATGAGATGGTTGTTGTTCAATTTGTGTGATTAAACAAAACAAATAAATTCATATTTAATAAATTAAAATAAATCCATACTTGACAAATTACATTATAAAACATGAAACAGAAATACATATCACATGAAATATTGAAAGACGAGAAATCAAACCAAATTCTGTGTGATACTACAGTGTCCTTAAAATAGATTAGCCCCCTCACTGTAGGTGCTGGAGGAATGTCGACTTCTGTCTCCCAAGATAAAATGGCTTAAACCGGCTAACTCAGAAGCACCTTCTGTTAGCTTTGGCAAACCGACAATGGTAGCACTCTCTCACACAGGAAGAAAATTGTAGACACAAGCAGACTGACTATATAATTCTGGAAGGGAAAAGTTGTATCTAAACCAAGGGAGATGGGTCTCTTTTTATACACCATGGAGGAGAGAGGAAGAGCATCTAGCCATGAAGGCTATCATTTAATGCCCATGAAGGCTGGCCACTAATGGCCATTACTCTTGCAAAACTGCTGGAGTAATGGACCAAAATTGATGGGAGAAAATATATGATATATATATATATATATATTTTCTGTATACACAAGTGTGTATTTCTACTACAATCAATGTGGGATTGGTAGTTATACACAATTCTGAAAACCTCATTCATGAGGCCATCTTTATGAGACAATTTCTCATTCAATTCTCAATGGTTTTTGGTCATTCTTTATGTGGTGTAAAGACCTTATTACAACAAATCTAAACCCATTTAATCCCACCTCAACCAATGGTTGGGGCCTACTTTAATTTCACATTAAAGTTTACCAAAAACCCATTTTTTCCAACAATGGTAACCAATTTAGTCCAAGACTCTCTAATCCCGTATTCCTTCATTACCCATGCATCGACATTAGCATAATTTTGGCCATTGAAAGCGAGTACACAAAGGAGGCATTCTGATCCTCCTTCTAAAACCCCAAACCTCCATAGACAACTTCCATCTCCATTATTGGGCTGTCGTATCTCCCTGTACTTCTCTTTCACTAAATCGAAGCAAACAATACTCTTTGGAGAGCTCAAATCCATATACGATTTGGCTTCTCAATAGAGAACTCCATACATAGATACTGCATTAATGTATCTACCAGGATTGTTTAGAATCTCGTTACCATTATTGTGAATTGTTGCCCAAAAATAAGTGTCCGTGTGGATACTATGACAAGAATAAAAAACAATTGGACTTTAAAAATAAGGACACAAACCTAAGGCCCGTTTGAGGCTCATATGGGTCACTTGGGCTCAAAATCATAAAAAAAACAAACTAAAGTGTGGATTTTAATATATGGATAAGCTCCTCGCCAGTTGGATCTCCGAATTGGAGTGCTTGTTGTCGTCTGTGGGCTCTCCACCTATCTTTCTCTCTCTCTCTCTCTATAGAAACCACCAACATCCATCGTCACCGCCACCGGCCTCCGATCCAAAACCACTTCATCCCAGTATGGCTTCATTTGGGAAGCCAAGTTTGGGGCTTTTTTTGGCTATTTTAGCCACAAAAAACAAAATAAGTTTTTTAGCCCAATAAGACAAAACATCACATTGAATCCATAATCATTACATTCTTTCTCTCACTACAAAGCCAAAAAAGCCCAAAATCCTTCCCAAACGAGACTTTTTAGCCCCAAACTAAAATAGCCAAAAAAGCCAAAAAATCAAAAAGCCAACTCACTTCCCAAACCAATCCTATATAACTTCCAAATCCAGAGACCCCACATTCGAGAAACTCATGGACAAGTACAAGAACCTCCTCAAAGTAATCTCCATTCAAGACCTCATCATCGCAAACCCTACCTCCAATAACCCACCATCAATCTCTGTCGGCTTCCTCAACCACTGTTTTTCAATTCCTCCTCCTCCAATGCCACCGCTTTGCTGCCGCCACTCATCAATCCCAAGCCAAACCCTAGACCCCTGCTGCTTCCGATCTTAGATCTCTGCTGTGAACTTCCTTCTCTTCCTCTCTACCTGCTTCAGATCTCAGATCTCCCTCGTCGCGGGTAACGAGCTTTGCCGCCTCTTCCTCCTCTCTCCGATGGCGGCTTCAGCCACAGTTGGTATCGTAGCGGCGACTCTCCGGTCAGTACTCCACCGCATCAAAACCAAACTCACGCGCGTGCGCACACACACACACACACTCTCTCTCTCTCTCCCCCCTTTTCATCTTCTGTTGCTCTCAATCTACCGTTGCCGCCAATCTACCACCACATCCACCTCCTCTGATCTGAACAAATCTAACACTGCCGATCTCTGTGGGTCTTCTTCCTCCGACAGAAGCTATATACATATATATGTCTGAATCTACGCATACTGCTCTATTTTTCCTTTGTGAAGTTCTTTTACTTTGAATTCGATCATGCTTAAACAATTTCTGGTAATTTACTAGCGTATTTGAGTACTAGAAGCTCAGATATGTGTTCTAATTGAAATTTTTTTTTTATTTAATTCTAGTTTAGAAGCTATAGATTTTATATATATTTTTTCTCATTGATTATATAAAAGTATAATCGAAAAAAATTAAACAAATAGGTCTGATGTGAGGGTTTCACACCAACAAGAGTTCAACAAATATGTTTATTTTTATTTTTAATTTTTTTATGTTGTTGAAGATGATGATGAACAAATAGGATTTGGTGATGAGCTCAACAAATCTGCTTATGTTTTTTTTTAATTTTGTGATGTTGTTGTTGTTGATGATGATGATGGACAAATAGAAATCTGTCAAATTTTTTAAAAGTGAACAGATGAGGAATTTCAACAGATAATCAAATTTAGTTAGATATTTGAATAGATAATAAATTTGGACAAATAAAATTTATTTGGACAAATATTTAAACAGATAAGAGAATTTGAATTGAAAAGATTAAAAAATTAAATAGATGGGGAAAAAAATTGAATAGATAGAAAAAAAAAATTGAACAGATAAGAAAAAATTTGAACAGATAAGAAAATTTTTGAACAAATGGGGAAATTTTTGAATAGATAGGAAAAAAATTTGAACAGATAATCAATGAAAGTAAATAGATAAATTAATGGGTAAAATTGGAAACAAAATGTTCTTCAAAACACACAAAAAGATTTTTCACCAAACTATTTTACAAAAGATAGACCTCTCATTAATAAAAAAATTCACTGGACCTAATATCTTATACTATTTTTAGCTTGGACTTTTCAACAATTTACTCTAATTTAAACCGTGCAACATTTAAAGTTTATTAAGTATTTCATTTCTGTAAAACATTACGTCGATCAGATATTAATAGTCACTTGATCAAATTATATTTATGTCAACAATTTATTTTTAAAATCATAATTATCATTGATACAAATTTGATTTGATTTAGTATCTATCGATATTCGATCAAAGTGATTTTTTTGCAAAAATAAAATATTTAACAAGTCCTAAATATTAAATAATTTAAATTATCGATGTAAATTTCATGATGAATCCACAAACCTCAACAACGCGCTCTAATCTAAGAACAAATTAGAGAGAAGCTTACCATTATATGGAAACAGTTTCGACCTAAATATAAAACAATCGCTTATAGTTTGGATTGGGTTGCTAAAGTTACTCGGATTAACAACAGCTTTTTTGAGAATTAAGGCCAAGTTTGGGTACTTCTAAAAAAGCCAAAAAGTCGAAAAGTTACTCAAAAAGTTAAAAAGTTAATACTATTCACCAAAAGTCATTATCGATGTAAATTTCATGATGAATCCACAAACCTCAACAACGCGCTCTAATCTAAGAACAAATTAGAGAGAAGCTTACCATTATATGGAAACAGTTTCGACCTAAATATAAAACAATCGCTTATAGTTTGGATTGGGTTGCTAAAGTTACTCGGATTAACAACAGCTTTTTTGAGAATTAAGTTAAAAGTTAATTTTGTTTATTTTTTTTAATTTTTTTAAAAGAATTATAAAAAAGAATAGAGAGGTGATATGACTCAAAAGAGGTTAAAAGCAAAAAAATAACTTTTTACTAAGTTCTCAAATTAGACTAACACATGTCTGAATTCAAGATATTAGTAAAGTAATAATCAGTGTGTTTAGTTTTGATTTTCTGATTCAATTTTTTGAAAATTGAGTTTTTTGTTTTTTGATTTTTTTTTTATTTTTAGTGAATATTTTTAAAATTTTAAGTTATTTTTTTTTATTTTTTTAGATGTATCTTACATAGATGTATCTAAAAAATAAAATATATGTGAAGAAATATTTTAAAAAATTAATAAATACACAAAAATATGAAAAATATACTGAATTTTTATATTTTTTTATATTTTTGGTATTTAGTGAATTTTTAAAAGATTTTTTTTACAAAAATTATACTTTTTAAGTGTATTTATGTTAGGTGTGTTTAAAAATTAAAAAAATTGTTTAAATATTAAAAAAATTTAGTAAAAACAAAAAAAAAATACAGAAAACAAAGAAATAAAATTTTTTAAAAAGTAAAATCTGAAAACCAAAACCAAACAGAGTAAATAGTGTTCGGTCAATTTCATGGGAATAAAAGTTTATTAGAATGAGATCAAATGCAAAGGAATGATAATTCTTGGGCTTCGCAATGGAATGATTACAATTGTGAATGAAGAATCAATTAGCAATGTATTTTTTTAATTAATATTTTAGACAATTAAATTAATATAATAATAATTTTCTTTCAATAAATCAAACATTACCTAAGAGTATGTAACAAATCACATAACTAGACATAAATATATATATATATATATATATGATTGTTTAAGATTTTCTTTTAGATCATACTAACAAGTTTTATAAAAAAAAAATTAATTCATATATATTTTGTACCTTATTTTTGAAATCTTAAACAAAAATGCCTTGGAACATGGCTATAAAATTTACAACAGTTAAGCATTACCCTGCCCTTCAATTAAATTAACAATTCATCAGAACATATATTACGAATTGTTCTCAATAAAAAGAAGTGTTAGAACCAAGGATTGATCTAGATGGTGTGGGTGGGCCGATCGCACTTTCAAAATTTTGAAAAGTACTATAAATTTATACTAAATTTTTTTAAAATAATTTAAAATTATAAGGGTTCACATTTCAAACATATTTTCATACCCATAGTGATAATCCTTATTCTGTCTCTGGTAAGAACAACATGTCGCTCGTAAAAAGAGAAAATTCTGAACTAGGAAAGATTTGTGCACTTAAAGGAAAGATTTTTCGTTTGGTTGTGTTTTGAAAACGTAATTCTATACCTACATTTGAATATGATGTTTGGAAGGAGTTTTGGAATCAGTTTTCCAAAACTCTGCAGAGAACTCTGTCTCAGGCTAGATTTTTGGAATTTTTTTTTTTTTTTTGCAAATTTTGCCTAACCAGTCGTCCGGCCAGTTGACCGGAATAGTGATTTTTTTTTTTTTTTGCAATTGATATGTTAATTTGTATATAATTGAAAAAAACATTTTTCGAATTTTTTAAAATTTTTTATGTGCTTTAAAATAATTTTGAGTTGTACGTTTGGTTATGAGTTGTAAATTTTTGTATCAAATATCAAATGTCACATCAACAATTCCCGCTCAAATCAAAACTCTTTTCAAAACTCTTTACCAAACAAATTTTCCACACTCAAATCATAATTTCAAACCTCACAAACTCAAAATACAACTTATACTCTCAAATCATAGTTACAAAACTCTACCAAACGCAACATTGTCCAAGTGTTTTTCACTGAGGGTAGTGAGATTTTGTAAGAAACAACAATTGATTTTTATAATTAAAAAAAAAATTATAATACCTAACTTATCTAAATACAAAGCAAAAAATAATAGAGAAAATTCCGTCCCTGGTAAGAACAGCATGTAGCTAGTAAAAAAGAGAAAATTCTGAACTAGGAAAGATTTGTGCATTTAAAGGAAAGATTTGTCAAAGTGTTTTTCACCGAGGGTAGTGAGATTTTGTAAGAAACAACAATTGATTTTTATAAATAAAAAAAAATTATAATACCTGACTTATTTATCTAAATACAAAGCAAAAAATAATAGAAAAGGCATATATGTCATATCTGTTGTTCATCTTGTGAAATTAAATAAATAGATTTATGAAAAAATCAAATTATATACCAAGAACACATGCAGATAATTACAACTAAATATATCTTATTTATTGTCTGTTCAAACAAAATGGTTAAAAACAACAATTATTTATATTTTTTTCTAAACTATATGAGAAATCACACATAATCTTGTCATTTATTAATCGTCCAAACATGTTTCCCTCAAACTCGAGAAAAACTAAAGACGAAAAACAAAAAAAGTCAACCTCAAAAAGCTTAAGCAAGCTTTTGATTGTTGTTTATTTCTTGGATAAATTATAAATACACATTTTGAAATTTGCTTAAAATATAAATTATTTTTTTGTGATTTTGAATATTACATCCAGTCCTTTCAAATTTTCAATCGCATAACAAATTATCTATTTTATTAATGAATTATTAAATCAATTAATAATTTTTAACAATAAATATATTTTATTTAAAATTTCTAACAATTTTATTATTATATATAAGAGTAGTTATAAATTTGAAAAATTTACCCATATATCTCATATGCGGAATAGTAATCCATTTAGTTCTAAAAGTTTTCTTATGAACCAATCAGTCCTTTTTGTTTTAAAAAGTTATAGTTATTTTATTTAGTACCATTTGAATTTAAGTGAATATCATTTTGTGATTCATTTGTCTAATTTTATGATTCGTTTTTAGGATGAGAAATAGAAAGGTGAGATGTGGAATATTATTTTTGAGGAGATTGATGACTGAAGTGTTGGTTGTCGAGCGTAGAAACATATATTTTTGTTAGAATGATTTTCTGGTGTTACATTAGAATGTTACATTAGAGTACTATGTTTGAAAAAAATAAACTAAGGAGCTTTTATGTGTTGCATTGATTGAAGTGTTATGTTTGAAAAAAATATACTAAGGAGTTTTTTTGGAATGATACATTGTTACATTTGAAAAAAATTCACTAAGGAGTTTTTTAGTGTATTACATTAGAATATTACGTTTGGCAAAAGTAAACTAAAGAGTTTTTTTTTAAATGTTACGTTGTTATATTTGATAATAGTATAATAAGGAGTTTTTAGTATGTCACATTGAAGTGTCATATTTGAGAAAAATATTTTAAAGAGTTTTTGTGTGTTACATAGATTATAATGTAACGTTTGACAAAAGTATACTAACGAAAAAAATATACTACAAAGTTTTTGTGTGTTACATAGATTGGAGTGTTACAATTGAAAAAAGTACACTAAGGAATTTTTTTAGAATATTACGTTGTTACGTTTGAGAAAAGTATACTAAAATTTTTTTTAGTGAGTTACATTAAAATATTACGTTTGAAAAAAATACATTAAAAAGTTTGTTTTTTAAATGTTACGTTTAGTGATTTCAACATTATGATAAAACCCACATTACCTCTCAATATTTAACACGCGTATTTTTACTTAAACTTTTATATAACTCATGCGAGGATGAGACCTTTGAGTCCATAAGGAAAAAAAAAAGAAAAAACAGCGGAGAGTCAAATAATTTATAAGATCACTATTTGAAATTTATTGGTACTTTGCCTTATAAATTTTATTTTTTCTATTAATTACTCAAATAAAAAATTTTGACCATAGAATATTTGTAATTTTAAAAGTACAAGAGATATAAGCAAATGTATTTGTAATTTATTCATATTTATTCAAAGGAAAATGTGAGATGGCCCATTACAATTGATGTTTTGGTGACAATTTTCATGATCATACTTCGTCATCTGTAGAACGAGGCCTCCAGTACTTACTCAATCCATGGTAGGTGATGTGGCTCTGGTAATAGACAATCAGATCCACCGCACATTGCTTAACTTTAATAGGTGACGGCATAATGAAAGAAATCTCGAATTGCTCACCACCTTTAATTCTATACCCAAAATAATCTTCAACAAACATATGGCATTCCCAAAGATAATTTGCACAACTCTCAGGGATGCCGAAGAAGGTTGGAGTATAAGTAAAATCGATGCCATTAATTTTATCAGTAATAATGACGTGTGGAAAATTATCTAATTCCATGGAGCAACTTTCTTTATCCCCAGATCTATAATAAACAACTTCCCAAGTGAACCCTGCAACGAAGTCGTCTTCCCCTTGCACTACTGGCACTTCTAAGGATATCGAAGAAGACCCTATTATTTGATGGAGGAAACGTTGGCTCAAGTCACCACCGGTATAGAAAGAGTCGCTCACGAGGAAGGAGTTGTCAACAAGATGCTGTCATATGAATTTCTAATTAGTAGAGTGCTAGACGAAAACAAATAACATATTAGAAATGCTATATATGACCGATTATTTGTCATTATTTTGTATCACTGTCTATATAAACACTTATGATTAATTCTCTTATTTAAAGATAATTATTAACAAATTAAATGCAAACAAATCACATCTTTCCAAGTAGGTTGGTGACGTAAAAAGATGATATAAACATATGATATATAATCATCTATGTAGCTAGTAATAAAAACAGTGAAAAAACTAGTGAATCCTACTTTCAAAATTGTTACCGCCACATTTTTCAAGTAAAAAATTTTGAATAAAAAATTCAGTAAGAGTAAGATATTATTTTCCATCTCTAATAGGCAACTCCTCTCTAGTCCACTGGTGTTGTTTACGTCCATGGGATCCAACACAGGTTCCGTTTCTATGATCTAAACTACTCATTTTATTGAACACTTTATCTATTTCTTTCACATAAAAATTAAGTCGATTTGATAATCGTAACTTATTTAATTTATTGCTTGTCACCAAAAAAATATATTGTTTATTCTTAAAAACACAATTGTCATTTTTATTTTTATTTTGTGACAAATTTGATAAATTGAATATATTATGATTATCGAATCGATCTAATTTTTTTTTGTGAATGATATACACGAAGTGCCCAATAAAATAAAAGATTTGAATTATCAAAATAAAACATCTGGTGAATCGCATGGTTGATTCCGCAACCTAAATAGCGTCCTCCAGTCCATATAATCTAGACCGGATAGAATCCCCCTCTGGAATTATATAGGTCACATCTAAAACAATTTTGGTATCACACATTTCACTAAATTTTCAGAGAGATTTTTTTGCTAAATTGTTGCACCTGAGAGAGAGAGAGAGAGAGAGAGAGAGAGAGAGAGAGAGAGAGACCTGAAGGGGATTTTGCAAATTGCTGAGCTTGTTGAGCCTGTCCAGAGGAATGATTTGTACACCTTGAAAACGGTGAGGATCTTCCATTCCATCATTATAACGATTTGAGAGAATCTGCTCAAATTGGGGGTTACTCAACCACACTACTAGATTCTTCAATTTTGATAGATCGGATATTTTTTGAAGTGATGCACAATTATAAGCATATAAGTCCAATAAATTAGGAGGAAGATCTGAGATAGATTGAAGACATGTGCAGTTATCCAACCCAAGGTCTTCTAGCTTGGATAGATGACTAAAGCCATATGGTAGGCTACGAAAATTGTTTCCGTCTAACTTCAACACTCGCAATAAGGATAAACTCCCAAAATCAACTGGAAAATCTCCTTCAGACAGATTGCGATTACTGAGATCTAGCTTTGTTAAGGAACACAAACCTGAAACAGTGGATGGTAAAAATCTTATGGAGTCAGCATTTTTTCTCTGTAAAACCCAAGATGAAATGAGAGAAAACCAGGATTTAGTTGTCAATTGCATATTACATCCCTTCAACAATAACGTCCTAAGATTCTTCAGTAGTCCAATAGAGAAAGGTAGTTGTTTAATGGCTGTTCCATCCGCAAGAAGCTCTGTTAAGCTTTCCATATGTCCCAAGTGCTTTGGAAACTCCTCTAGTTTCGCACAACCAGTGAGATTTATATGTTTAACAGACTTTAACTTGCAGATACTGCCTGGAAGATACCTGAGGTTCATGCAATCTTTCAAATTCAAGTGAACAAGTTTATCTAGAAGCCCAATTGATTCATGGAGCTCCATTAAACATGTACAACTTTCAAGCAGTAATTCATCGAGCATCGGTAGTGCACAAAAGATGGGGCTTTTTGTTAGGCATTTGGAATTACTAAGATTTAAAATTTTCAAGCTCTTGAATTGCTGCAAAAACAAAGAAAAATATACAAAATTATATAATTTTTTTTCATCATGATCCACTATATAATTTATCCAAATCCCAAACAACAATGAATTTGGTAAGAATGTCATACCTTGCCATCCATCCAGAGTGTTTTAAATCTACTGAATTGCATGTCTAAAACAAGAAGTTTCTCTGGACGAAAATTGGATGGTAAAGACTCCAATGGGCAGTACTGCCAACAGAGCCATCTTAACTCTTCAAATAGATGTTTAAAATTTCCACAAAGGTACACATGATCTATTCGAAGCAATCTTAACTTAGGCATCCCAGCAAAGGCTTTATTACTCCATTGTATCTTCTTTAACATGGGTAGGGTCATGATCACTCCTTCAACTGCTTCTGTTCCCTAATATAGTAATATTTAAAAACAAAATGGAAAATTAAAAGGAAGAAAGACAATAAAATAACTGAAATTAGCATTCCATACTGAAAACTTACTAACTCACTAGAATGAATTAAGATTCGACTCTTACCTTGTTTTTTTCAAGTACACAGCATACATCTTCATGAAACCACAATCTATTGCGCTTTTCAGGCTCCTTCGGATATTTTTCACGAATAATCTCCCTCCCCATATCCCTAAGTAGATCATGCATCATCAACTTATTGTTTTTACTAATTCTCAGTAAACATCTACTCATCAGAACACTAATTCCAATTTCTGCAAAGAAACCACAACCATTCAATATAGTAATGACATAGCCTCTGTCCATTCCAATGAAAAAGAATGCAATATCAAGGAAGATATCCTTTATGTTATCATCTAGTGCATCAAAACTTATCCTAAGTTTTTCCTGAATTTTCTCATGAGGAATTTGTTGCAACTTATCAAATGCACTTTTCCATTCTACTATGTTTCTTGCAGACAAATAAGAACCCAAAACTTCAAGAGCTAGTGGCAGCCCACTAGCATAACTTACTATACCATTTGCAAGATCTGCATAATTTTCTAATGGATTGGTTTTGCCAAAGGCATGCCAACTGAAAAGCTGCAAAGACTCTTCGTGATCCAATTCCTTAGCCATGTATCTTTCATCTACTTTCAGTCCCTTCAACAAGTGCTCATCTCTAGTTGTTATAATGATTCTACTTCCTGGACCAAACCAATCGCGATTTCCTGCCAAGGTATTTAATTGACTTAATTGATCCACATCATCAAGAACAATGAGTACCCTTTTAGAGTGGAGCCTTTCTTTTATCAAATTCATTCCTCTATCAGCACTGCCAATCTTTAGATTCTTTATCCCTAATAATTCAAAGAGAAGTTGTTCTTGCAATTGACATAGACCATTGAATTGTTCTGCACATTCTCTAACATTTGCAAGAAAACAACTCCCTTCAAATTGGAAGTAAATATGGTTATACACAGCTTTTGCAATGGTCGTTTTACCTATTCCACCCAAGCCGTATATCCCAATCATGCGAACATCATCTGATCCAATGCTCAACAATGACTTTACGTGTTTAACACGAGAATCTATTCCAACAGGGTGCATAGCAACATTTAGGAATGTATGTTTCAGTTCACATAAAACCTCTTTAACAATTTTTCGGATGAACTTTGCTTCATGCCTGTCAATTTCAATCCAAATAAAAAGTGAAGCGAGTATACATTATGGAAATATGAGACCTTACAAACCCCACTCCCAATATGAAGTTAAGAAATGTAAAATTCAAAACATCTTGAAGTTACAAAGTGAATTATTTATACTTAATATAGTGCAATGAAACAAATAAGTTGTATATGTATGCATATAGTCTAGTATATAAGTGTGTAGCATGCACTTTGGTATGTATGCATTATATTTCAGGCCTTGAACTTGATTTTGGAGTAAATATTCTATATATGCATGAATTAGAGCACAGCACTCATTTCGTTTTTATAACCAAGACGGATCTAAATAAAATTATTGACGAAAGGATTGTAAGTCAGTTTTGAAATGTAAAATTCAAAACATCTTGAAGTTACAAAGTGAATTATTTATACTTAATATAGTGCAATGAAACAAATAAGTTGTATATGTATGCATATAGTCTAGTATATAAGTGTGTAGTATGCACTTTGGTATGTATGCATTATATTTCAGGCCTTGAACTTGATTTTGGAGTAAATATTCTATATATGCATGAATTAGAGCACAGCACTCATTTCGTTTTTATAACCAAGCCAGATCTAAATAAAATTATTGACGAAAGGATTGTAAGTCAGTTTTAATAAAAGTTATACATGTATACGCATAAAAATTTGATTTTTTTAATCAAATCCATAAATAAAATTCTCAATCAATATTAAAATAGACAATTGTAAAAACAAGGAGGATCAACATAGCAGGATTTTCTAGTTAAAGATAAAATTTGATGGCAGCAGTAGCAGCAAAATTAAAAGGATGTTAAAAATTACCCATTAGCAACATTTTGCAAATCCCAGCCTGATAAATTAGCAGCTTCATTGAGGGCAGCTCTCCTCACCTCTACCTTCTCCATCTCATCCACAAAGCGCTTTTCATGTCTTCCAAATGCTTCTCCAAAATACCCTGTTTGTTTCCGTACATCAGATGGACAGACATCGTAGAATATTGGGAGAACTAATTGTCCAAGTGTTTTCTTGCATTCAATGATCTTCACGAGCTCATCAAGGCACCATCTCGAAGAAGCATAGTTTCTTGAGAAAACAACGATGGAGGTCCTTGATTCTTCGATTGATTTTAGCAGCTCCGAAGAAATTTCACGTCCTCTTTGAAGTTCGTCATCATCCCTGAAGGTGCGAATTCCAGCTTGAACCAAGGCCTCGTAGAGATGATCAGTAAAGTTTTTGCGTGTATCTTCACCTCTGAAACTCAAGAACACGTCATAGCTCCAGCGAGGTTGTGTCAAAGATGAGGAAGAAGCAAAACAAGAAGAGACTTTTCTCCTTTGGGGGGCTGGAAAACAAGGAGAATGATCTAAGGTTCTTTTAGAAGCCATGGATAATAAAACCAAGATTACAGATCAAAATCAATTGTAGGCTGCAATACAATGTAAGTGAATAGTGATTCGGCCATCTGATCAAAAAAATATATATATAGTGATTCGGCAAAAGGGAAGAAAGAGTTATTTGCAGAAAATAAAGAAGAAGAGGAGCAAAACAGTGGAGAAGAGGGTCACAATTGAACCGTCCTAGAGCCAGATTTTTCTATTGCCTTTCTAGCTTCTCTTAGCTTTGTTGGGGATGTGGGTTTATTTTTTTGATTTTTTTTTTTTTTTAAATTTTAATTTGAGATTAAAAAGTTTTATTTACGATAATTTTTTTAATTTTTATGAAAAAAAAATAAAATTATTATAATTTAAATATGATATTTTATCTCATTAATTTTTTAACTTATCTTTTTACACGACTATTTTAATTCAGACTTTTTATGTCAAACCAAACCTCACTAACTTTTATGCCTAGGTGGTGTTTGGGAACTTGGTTCCCAAATTTTGTTCTCATTTTTTTTATTAAAAGACAAAAATTTTGCAAAATCAAAAAAAAATAAATCTAAACAAAATATCACATTCAACCCCATAATCATTTTACTTCTTTTTTCACAAACATCACATCTAACCATAAAAAAAACTCAATTATTTTCTCAAACATTAAAAAAAAATTATCCAATAATATCCTATAACTAAAAAAATCTACATAAAAATTGACTTCTCAAACACGCACATAATTATATCAACGCAACTACCAAATAAAATATCTGGTCAAATTTCCACCACGCAAATTAGGATGAGGGGATACTTCTGCCACTGAAGGCAGCAGGAACGGCTGTGCCATCAAACGGCACAGTTTTGATAACTTTTTAGTTATTTTTTCTTTACTTAGGCTTGTACACCGACAAATCCCCGTAAGGCATCACTTTGTTAATTACACACAAATATAAATAAAAATATATATTTACTTATAATTCTTAATACCAAAAAGTGTTTCACAATTTACCCACTTTCTAAGATATTAATATTATTTAATTACTTAATTTCAAATTTTCTAAATTTATTTTTTAAATTTACATTATAAAATATTTAAAATTTTATGATTGATATTGTAAAAATTTATGACTTAGTTATGACGTTTGAGAAAATAAAGTTGTCACTTGTGAATAAGTTAGTAAGGAGGCATAATTTTATGAAAGGAATACTATTATACTCATAATTCATCATTTTTAGCCAATAAGATACTTCAATATCATAATAATTTATAAAATATTGTTACAAGTAAATGCACTATATTATAATTTCACACATGCACAATATATAGAATTCTGAACATTTAGAGTATGTTTGATTACAAAGATTATAGAATAGGATTGAGATTGTTAGTTCATGAACTCACAATTCTATGTTTGATTGCAAATTTTATTAACCAGTTATATGTATGGTGAATATTCAATATGACCAAATTGATGAATTTTTAATATTGATAGGGATTAAGGATCATAATTTCAAGTATGAAAAACAAAAATTAAAAAAATGAATACATAATAAATAGTTGTCTCACTAGTTTAATTGGACAACTAATCCTACACTAATTTATAAAATTATTAATCATTTCACTATTAATCATTTTAATCAAATAAGACTTTATAGTGTTATTGGATTGATTTATACTCTAATGTAGTTTACTAGGGTAAAATAGAATGAAGTTGAATTACTATTCTTTTACAATAATTTTATTTATAATTATTTTTATAATGAATTAAGAATGAATGGTAAGGGTGCAAACCATATGCATCCTATCACAAAATATATAATTTTATGACAAAAATTTATAAAATCAATCACAAAATATATAATCTCATTATAAATTGATATAATAAAAAAATATCATAACTAAGTTACAAACTTTTGCAACATCAGTCATAAAATTTTAAATATTTTATACGCTAATTTTAAAAATAAATATAGAAAATTTGCAATCAAGTAATTAAATAATATTAATACATTAAGTGGGTAAATTGTGAAATACTTTTTGTAGTGAGAATTATATAAATATACATATATATATATATATTTTTTAAATTCTCTACAAGTAATGCACAAAATCCAAAAAGTTGTGTGCAAAATAGGCCTTGGTTGTATGACTAAGGGAAAAAAATAAAATAAAATACATGCCAAAACTATATCGTTTGATGGCACAGCAGTTCCTGCTGCCCTTGAGGGCCAACAGTATCCCCCAACCCCCATAAATTAACTCTGATTAACAAAACTCAACTCAAAACATAATTAGAATTAACTAAGCATAAGTGATTGCTTAGACACAAAGTCAAACAAGCACATTACATCAACACTGCTCCCCCTAATGTATTGCTCCATAACTCCAAGTAACTCTCTAAAATGCTAGAACTTTTCTTTGGAAAGAGCCTTAGTGAATATATTTGCAATTTGTTCATCTAACCTGCAGAATTTGAGCTGCACTTCAACTTCTTCAATTGCTTCCCAAATAAAATGATGTTTAATTGCAATATGACGAGTGCGGCTGTGAAAAACAAGATTCTTAGCCATGGCAATGGCTGATTTGTTGTCACAAAAAATTTATGTACCATCTTCTTACTTTTCGCAAACATCTTCAAGTATTCTCCTCAAACAAATTGCTTGGGAAGTTGCCAAACCCGCTGAAACATATTCAGCTTCTGCAGATGATTGTGCCACACTTTGTTACTTTTTTGATGACCAAGAAAATACTCCAAAACCCAAGGAAAATGAATACCCGGAGGTGCTTTTCATATCATCAGTGTAGCCACCCCAATCACTATCACAAAAACTAAACAATTTCACAGTTGAATCTTTGCAATACTTGATATCATAGCTGGTTATGCCTCGAATATATCTCAAAACTCGTTTTGCAGCACCAAGATGATTTTGGCTGGGATTATTCATAAATCTAGAGAGTAAACTTGCAGCATACATTATATCCGACCTTGTAGCCATTGTTCTCAAACCCGGACCGGACCGGCCGGTCGGACCGGTTGAACCGGGAACCGGGCCATGTTCCGGTCCGGTCAACCCCCTAAACCCTGTGTGCAAAATAGGCCTTGGCTGTACGACTAAGTGGAAAAAAAAATAAAAATAAAAATAAAAAATTACATGCCAAAACCGTATCATTTGATGGCACAGCAATATCCCCCAACCCCATAAATTAACTCTAATTAACAAAACCCAACTCAAAACATAATTAGAATTAACTAAGCATAAGTGATTGTTTAGATGCAAAGTCAAACAAGCACATTACATCAACACTGCTCCCCCCTAATGTACTGTTCCATAACTCCAAGTAACTCTCTGAAATGCTAGAACTTTTCTTTGGGAAAAGCCTTAGTGAATATATTTGCAATTTGTTCATCTTTAATTGCAATATGACGAGTGCGGCTGTGAAAAATAGGATTCTTAGCCATGGCAATGGCTGATTTGTTGTCACAAAAAATTTATGTACCATCTTCTTACTTTTCACAAACATCTTCAAGTATTCTCCTCAAACAAATTGCTTGGAAAGTTGCCAAACCTGCTGAAACATATTCAGCTTCTGCAGATGATTGTGCCACACTTTGTTACTTTTTTGATGACCAAGAAAATACTCCAAAACCCAAGGAAAATGAATACCCGGAGGTGCTTTTCATATCATCAGTGTAGCCACCCCAATCACTATCACAAAAACTAAACAATTTCACAGTTGAATCTTTGCAATACTTGATACCATAGCTGGTTATGCCTTGAATATATCTCAAAACTCGTTTTGCAGCACCAAGATGATTTTGGCTGGGATTATTCATAAATCTAGAAAGTAAACTTGCAACATACATTATATCTGCGCTTGTAGCTATAAGATACAACAAATTTCCAACCAAGCTTCTATACTACGAACCATCAACTTTTTTTCTCTCCATCTTCCTTTGTAAGTTTTTCATTCACAACTAGTGGTGTGGCCATGGGCTTACAAGCACTCATGCCAAATTTCATTAAAATATTTTCAGTATATTTCTTTTGAGAAATAAATACTCCATCTTCAACTTGATAGAATTCAATTTCAAGAAAAAGATTCAACAAGCCCATGTCACTCATTTCATATCTTCCCATCATGTCATTTCGAAATTCTTCAATCATTATCTCATCATTACTGGAAAATAACAAATCATCAACATACAAGGCAACAATAAAAATTGACATACCTTTATTTTTCACATATAAGGTTGGCTCACTCTTGCTCTTCTTGAAACCCTTGTCGATTAAATAGAAATCAATTTGGTTATTCCATGCTCTTGGAGCTTTCTTCATCCCATACAATGCTTTCTTTAATTTATACACCTTGTCTTCATCTCCTTTTATTAAAAAACCTTGGGGTTGTTCAACATACACTTCCTCTTTCAATTCTCCATTTAAAAACGCAGATTTAACATCAAGTTGATACAATGACCAACCTTTTTGGGCTGCTAAAGCAATGAGAGCTCGAATGGTGTCAAGTTGTGCAACTGGTGCAAATGTTTCTTGAAAATCAGTTCCAGGCTATTGTGTGTACCCTTTTGCGACCAGCCTTGCCTTGTTTATTTGGAATGAACCATCCGAATTCAACTTTGCTTTATAAATCTACTTCACTCCAATGATTTCCTTATCTTATGGTCTTTCAACCAATTCCCGTGTGTTATTCTTCTTAATGACTTCAATTTCTTTTTCCATTTCTTTCTTCAAAGCTTCCTCTTTAATTGTTTCTTCAAAACTTCCAGGTTCCGCTACACAAAAATTGCATCTAGCATACACATTACTCCAACTTCTCATTTTTTTTTTTTTTTGAAGTTGAACTAGGTGAGAATGAATTAGAATTTGAACTTGAACTTGGAGAAGAGCTACAAGATGATGATAAACTTGCCCTTGGTGAGGAATGCTTTGAATCTTCATTATCTTTATCTTCATGTGTTGAATTTTTTCGCTCCTCATCAACTAGGACAGATCGCTTCTCAATTTTACTTTTTTCCCAATTCCATTAAGCATTCTCATCAAATAACACATCCCAGTAGATTATAATCTAATTTTTCTTCGAGCTATACAATCGATAACCCTTGGATTTGTTGCTATATCCCACAAAGATACATTTCTCATTTGTTTCATCTAATTTGCTTCTTCTTTCCTTTGGAATTTGAGCATAGCAAACACATCTAAAT